TTTCACTGGCACTAAGAGTCCAACACATGAAAAACAGGCCGATATCCCATTTCCCTCTGGATTAAACTTTAGTCAACACAGTGTGGTTGAGCAAGTGTTGTTATCTAAGGAACTACCAAACAGGAAACCCATCTCCAGTCAAATGGTGGCATGGTTTACACCACTACATCAACACTTTTATTTGAACTTGGTGAGGTAAGCTTGGATGCAGCTCCTTTGCTGAGGAGCCACTTGAAGCACTTTATGGGCTACACTGTTCTTAAACTAAACTAGAGACCACATAAGGTTGGGAGGTCTAAAGCCACTGAGTCTGTGGAAAGTTTTCGATTATGCACCACAGCATCCATTGACCTCTTAGTTTGTGTGACCCACCTTCAAAAATTCTTAAAGAAGCAATCTGCAAGCTTAGTTGGTGAATTTTTTACACCTACTGCATTATAAGTAGGGGAATTCAATGATATGAAGACATGGCCATTCCCTTCTGGCAATATAGTAGGCATACATGAAGATATGCAGAACAGTGCCTTTTACACGATTGAATTTTCAAAGCTAAAGTTAGCATAGTAAGAGTTGCATCCAAGTTAAAATAATTGACTGCATTCATAGTCTTGGATACATACATCATGGTTCAGTTTTAAATGCAATTAAAAATACAAAGTTTAAAACCAGCAAATTAATTTAAAGGAAAACGACTTGCATGTGACAAGGACTGCCTTCTTCATATAGTGGCCATGCTTTGGTTCCAAACAGACAAAGAAGCCTGTGGGAAACACCACGGACTCTAGCAAACAATTAGCCACAACTAAAAGACTCCCAAAAAATGATAGTTTAAAAGCATAACTGTTAGCTTCCAGGTGCAATTGGTTTTCTCTGTTCACATCAAAATTGCTGTGTTGTTTTTACAATTTGGGGGGAAAAAATGACTTGGCGTCTGATTTTCCTCCAAACCAAAGTCATAATTTCTTTAATGAGGCTTTTGTGGGAAAAAAGAAGGAAACTAGAGCAAGAGTGTGTGCGCTCTGTGTTTTTTTTGTTGCACGTTTGAGGCAGGGAAAGCGAGAGACGGGGAGAAATAGAAAAGGGGGAGAATGAAAGTGGGCTGAGACCAAGGCCAGCAGATGCAGGGAATGAAAAGCTGGCTGTGGTAAAGTGGAGAGAAGGTGATGGGAAAGCTTGTGGGAACAGACGCTGAGCTTGAATCCCTGTAGCCTCTCTTGGCTTGGCACAAAAACAGCACACACCCACCCCCTTTTCAGCTTAGGCATGGCCCAAACAGCCTGGCAGCAAAGCAAAGCGCTTCCACTTAACCATATCAAAGTCAGACCGGCGCTGCGCTTCAAGAAAATAAAGACAAACTTTTACCCTAGAAGTCGCATAAGCAGCCTAGGAGAGAAACTGCACCACATGCTTATCGGTTATCTGGGTAAACTGTAAAGAAGTCAGAACTCTGTGATTGCAGAACAAGGCTTTGATGGGCATAAAGGAGGTGAAGCTGGAAATGCAATGCCAGCACAGTTGACAGGCCCTTTAAAAGTAGTCCTGGCACGTAGAAAGCTGGTGGGAGACTTCAAAGACTGTAGAGCTGGTGCTTTGTTTATTTACTCCGATATATATCTGGCAGGTCCACTGTGGGTGGCACTGATAACCTTTGACCTTTTTATCAACAACAACCTGAAAAGGAATTTTCTAAGATCAGCAGCCTGGCTCTCATGTTTCAGCTGTAGTGAGCCCCACCAAGCAGAAAGGACATGCACACATGCATGGATAAGCAAAGGTAAACATATGGATGGGATAAAGTTTCATTGAGAATTTTGCCAGAGACTGGAATCACAGTGATCCGCTCTAAAATTATTAAAAACTGAAAATCTGATCTCACCAATGTTCCCAAGCTTCACCAATTCTTCAAACCCTTCACAATTTAGGGTTGTGAAGCTTCAAGAATGAAAGCTGTATTTTCTACAGACTCATTGTGATTTTTCTGTCAGGCTGCTACATTCAAACAGTAAGAATTTAGCAAATAATATGTTGAAAATATTACAGCAAAGTTCTCTCTTCTGTGCGTCGGCAGATATAAGTGCGGTCAATCACACAGCAAGAGATCAACTGTGAAATGATTTACCAATTTACCAATATTTTGGAAAATAAATAAATCTACAGGAAGAGCTATCTGTGCTAATCAAACTAATCCCTAAAAAATTAAAAGACATTTTAAAATAAACTCTAATCATGTCTTGAAATATTATCAAAATATCTGTTTCACTGCAGAACAAAAGTATTTAACCCTTATATTATGTTGAAAAATGTTACATTGATTGTGCTGCAGGTCATTTTGACCTGAGATGTATAAATCTAGTTAGAACAGTCAAAAATCTAGTTTTCGCCATGTAACAGTTTTATTTTTGATTGGATAAACATTTCAATAAGTGACACAGGATTTTTTTTTTTATTCCAGCAGTATTTTTGAGAACTGTTTAGTTTAATGACAGAAAAGCTAATTAAAGCTTCTATATACAATAAAATTCGGGGTGTCTCGATTCAATATGATACAAATTTTGCAGCTTTGACTGCAACGTTGACCTGATACCAATATTGACCTGATATGATATCAAAATGAACCAAGTTTATTTTCTTTACTCATTTTGTTGTGCAAAATTATAGAAAGGCCTTATACAGGTGCTGGTCATAAAATTAGAATATCATGAAAAAGTTGATTGATTTCAGTAATTCCATTTAAAAAGTGAAACTTGTATATTATATTCATACATTACATACAAACTCATATATTTCAGATGTTTATTTTGTTTAATTTTGATGATTACAAATGACAACAAATGAAAATCTCAAATTCATCATATCAGAAAATTAGAATATTACTGAAGACCAATAAAAACAAAGGATTTATAGAAATGTTGGCCAACTGAAAAGTATGAACATGAAAAGTATGAGCATGTACAGCACTCAGTATTTAGTTGGGCCTCCTTTGGCCTGTATTACTGCAGCAATGCGGCGTAGCATGGAGTCGATCAGTCTGTGGCACTGCTCAGGTGTTATGATAGCCCAGGTTGCTCTAATAGTGGCTTTTAGCTCTTCTGAATTGTTGGGTCTGGTGTATTGCATCTTCTTCTTCACAATACCCCATAGATTTTCTATGGGGTTAAGGTCAGGAGAGTTTGCTGGCCAATTAAGAACAGGGATACCATGGTCCTTCAACCAGGTACTGGTAGCTTTGGCACTGTGTGCAGGTGCCAAGTCCTGTTGGAAAATGAAATCTGCATCTCCAAAAAGTTGGTCAGCTGCAGGAAGCATGAAGTGCTCTAAAACTTCCTGGTATGTGGCTGCGTTGACCCTGGACCTCAGAAAACACAATGGACCAACACCAGCAGATGACATGGCACCCCAAACCATCACTGACTGTGGAAACTTTACACTGGACTTCAAGCAACGTGGATGAAGTGCCTCTCTTCTTTTCCTCCAGACTCTGGGACTTTGATTTCCAAAGGAAATGCAAAATTTACTTTCATCAGAGAACATGACTTTGGACCACTCACCAGCAGTCCAGTCCTGTTTCTCTTTAGCCCAGGCAAGACGCTTCTGACGCTGTCTGTGGTTCAAGAGTGGCTTGACACAAGGAATGCGACAGCAGAAACCCATGTCTTTCATACGTCTGTGTGTGGTGGTTCTTGAAGCACTCACTCCAGCTGCAGTCCACTCTTTGTGAATCTCCCCCACATTTTTGAATGGGTTTTGTTTCACAATCCTCTCCAGGGTGCGGTTATCTCTCTTGCTTGTACACTTTTTTCGACCACATCTTTTCCTTCCCTTCGCCTCTCTATTAATGTGCTTGGACACTGAGCTCTGTGAACAGCCAGCCTCTTTAGCGATGACCTTTTGTGTCTTGCCCTCCTTGTGCAAGGTGTCGATGGTCGTCTTTTGGACAACTGTCAAGTCAGCAGTCTTCCCCATGATTGTGTAGCCTATAGAACTAGACTGAAAGACCATTTAAAGGCTTTTGCAGGTGGTTTGAGTTAATTAGCTGATTAGAGTGTGGCACCAGGGGCCATCAATTTTGAACCTTTTCACAATATTCTAATTTTCTGATATGATGAATTTGAGATTTTCATTTGTTGTCATTTGTAATCATCAAAATTAAACAAAATAAACATCTGAAATATATGAGTTTGTATGTAATGTATGAATATAATATACAAGTTTCACTTTTTAAATGGAATTACTGAAATCAATCTACTTTTTCATGATATTCTAATTTTATGACCAGCACCTGTATATTGATAATATTTAAACTGAAAATAACTATAAACAAAAACAGGCAAGAAAACAACTCAGCGGTTTATCATTAACTAAATGGTTACAAAAACTTTAAACAGAAGTGGAGTGTTTCCATCAGTTGGCTGATATCAGAGATTTTATATTCTGATATTAGATTTTTGGCTGATATCACACCAATGATTGATACATTTGGACATCCCTTATAGATTTTTGATAGTAAACAAATATATTTATTGGATTTACAGAAAATATCAGAAAATCGTTTATTGCTTTTTTTTTTATATTTTAGGAAAAAATGAAATCTGTATCAGTAGATCAGCACTTTAATAAACTAATCCCAGAAAAAAATCTTTAATTTATAAATTTTCAAGTATATGCTTTTCATGGTCTCATTTAGCTCACTGAATTTTTAAGTATTATGCACAAACATGCAATTAATGTAAAATAATCTGTTTAAAATACTGATAATGTGGTAATCACGCCTAATCTGCAAAAATAGAGCTAGGCAAATGTGTGAATAATGAGCTTAAAATGAAATTACTGCAGGCTGATGTGTTTGCATCTGTCAGGTCATGCATCGCCTTGATCTACTAACCCAGTGCCCCAGAGAATGGGAGCTGCTTCCCCCCTCCACAGCTGGGGGAGCATTTCCCTGACTGAACCCCATCCAACAAGATCTGCAAGTATCTGTACTCCCAGATGCTCCAACTCACCTCTGCAAAACTTCAACAGAAAGAGCGGCTCCTCAGCAGCGTCTCTGCGCGTCTACCTGCGCCTGTCCACCCATCCGTTTAAAAAAAACAAAACAAAAAAAACAGACAGAGGAGAAAGTGCGTCCTCGCATTCAGCGCTGAAGCTTAATATAAAAATGCAGGTTGATTTTTTTTTTTTCCCGGAAATGCTTTTGAATAAAAAAAAAGGAAATCTTTAACCCAGGAGAAGCATGCAGGAGTGAATATGTTATCGCCGTTCGGGTTTTCTAATCAGACGTTGGAGCCAGACATGCACACACAGCAGCAAACACTCAGCCGACCCCTCATGCATTCCAGTTTGTCAGAGGAACTCCTCCTCAACAAAGGCGGACCAATCAGAGGCCAGAGATGTCACCGAGTGGGCGGGGCCAGCTGGTTCCCTAACCCAGATCTTAGAAGAATGACCCTGAGACTCCATCATGTGGTGGGGGTGGTGGGCTTTGACAGGAGATCATGAGTCTTTCTTGCTGTGTTCTGTTCAAATAAAAATCAGACCCAAAAAAATATGTCTAATTCAAAGCATTAGATATATAAAAAAAAAGATTCATATTTATTTTATATTTCTATCATGTAAGTGTTAGTGTTCACACCATATCTCTCTTAAAATGCAATTGGATATAAAATAAATTAATAAATTTGGTCAGTTAAAAGCACATTGTTTAGTGTAATAATACAGCCATTTCTTCCCCGCTGCCATTAGACTGCTGAATGTTGTGTAAAACATGTGGAGAAAAGAAAATCCGGGACTTAAGGGTTGTACATTAACATGTGTTGGTGTAAATATTGAAAAAAAAAACTTTATTAAAGTATTGGTACAATTTCCTGATATTAAACATTTTTTGCCCTGCAGTGTTTCATTCTGCAAATTTCTTTCATGACTTAATTCCAAGAGCTTTATAACCAGCAGACACCAGCAGTCTTGCTGAAAGTAAAATAAATTGATGATACAAATGAAAATTTTTGTTCAACAGAAGAACTCTGGTATAACTAATTCCTGATTTCTACCATCCACAACTTTAAAATCTAAAATCAAAGCAAGCCATTTTATTTTAAAGTTAAACATAGACACCATACACAACAATTAGTAAAACTTCTTTGTTTTCTTCTGGAAGAAGGTTAATTTAGCTTTGCGTCATTTCCAGAGACCCAGAGTCCTGCTTGTTTTTTTATGCTTACATTATTCAAAACATACAATTTTTAAAATGGATACTGAGTCAATTTATCTATCTCAATCAGCAATTATAATGCAGACCAATGCAGGCAAATGGCTCTTTGGGATTGGAACTGGGCAACCCTGCTGTGTTCCGTCCCTAGATGAACAAGCTAACACTATTTTTAAGGCTTAAACAGAATAACCTTTTTTCTATTTCAGGAAAGGGCATCCTAATCACTCTGCTCATATTTCAAAGTAACTTCTACCTGGGTTTTATTATCTAGGATTACACAGTTTAACAGCCATGCATTCAAGAATGTTTTTCTTTGGAAACTGTGCAGCAGGCAAATTCAATCTGTTGAAAGGAATCTTAAAAAAACAAACATCTCCATCTTTTAGAACTGTGAGCAGCATAAAACACAGGTGCTGCTATTTAAGGCAGAGAAAATAAAATATGTTTCTGCTGCTGAATTTTGAGGAGTGACTCATCCTAAAGTGCTTCTGCCAGCATAATTGGACTCTATAAGTGGTTATGTTGTTCCGCTTAGTCCATACAAATTCAATTCACCTCGCCCTTCCGCAAAGCGATGGGAGCAGAAAATCACTTGTCCTCTTTAATCCATCATTATAAAAAGACAGATTTTTTTTTAAACTAACTTACACCATTAACCTTAATAGGAAGGATCAGAGGTGCTCATGCATTCGGTTAAATTACTTGAAAAATTAACTTTGCTGTGGGATGAAGCTGTGTTATATTTGTTGACAATGAACAGATATTTTGATGCATAACCTTCCTGAAAGAACTTTGTCAGAAGAACGTTGCAGAAATACATATTTCATCCCATTACATTCCACATCGTTCTGTCCCTTTTAAATATTCTGGGAGCTCTGCAACATTTCTATAACCTTCAGCTTGAACACCAGTTTCCACACTTCCACAAACACATCTCCTCTTTCTCTCCTCCTCAGCTGTTGGAGAAGCCAGCTTATAATTATGGCTATCATCAGCAGCCACTGACCAGCAGCTATATTTATGGGAGAAGCAACATGTTCAGACGCACTGAAAAGAGAACAGCATAACTAAAGAAAACAGGCTGCAAGTTAATCCTTACCCAGAACCTGTTAATAGGGAACAGGCATTTTAACAGTGGATCTGTCTGAGTGAAGTTTTTATATATATATATATATATATATATATATATATATATATATATATATATATATATATATATATATATATATATATATATATTCATAAGATTTCTGGAAAAGGTGAATATATAATACATTTATTTTTTTATTATGCAGTCATAGATGCAGTAAAATTATATAAAAACCAACAAAAAATATAACATGGGATACAAATAATAAATAAATGAGCAAGTAGAGCCAGACAAAATAGAGCCAGAAAAGCATAAAAACTGTAAAGAAAAAAAAAAAAAAGAAAGAAAAAACATGAAGAGAGAACAATTAACCTTTCAAATTATTTTCTAAGAGGATAATTTATATGCATCAAGATAATAATCTGTTCAATGTGTATTTGTATTGTAAACATGCGTTATTTAATATATTCATCAATAATCAATAATTGATTAATGCACCAAATGACAATGTAATCAACGGATTTAAAAATTAAATTATATGCTTAAAAATATTCATAATATGGTTTCTTTTGCATTTATATTTGTAGATTTTTTATTTTGGTCCGTACAATACCAGACCTTGCCAACTATTTTATAATGTTTGTTTGATTAAATCCATTTTTAAATAAAAAAATAAGCAGTTATCATATGCATCATATTTAAGTAGTCTTTATAACAAATCGTTTTTCTTATGCTTCAGTTGCATCTTTCCCTATACATTTCTTTTTGAAACTGCAAAACTTTCTCACCTGATATTCAATGTTTCATAGCATTTCTATGTGTTTGACAGTCAGAGAGGATTCAGTTACATGCTGCATGCTGCACTGAGAACCAGACACGCACTTTAGCTACTTTGGGCTCTAATGACAGCTGGTATATTGCAGGTGGAGTTTCTTCCTTGAAGGCACAAATACAAGGCACACATAAACAATTGGATCAAACTAAAAGTCATAGAAGAAATACATCTTTTTTGTTTCTCCTCCTCCAGTTCTTTTGTTTGGAGCATAGCTCATTCATGCAGCAACTAAAAACACATGCGTTTTGAATGATTGCAGTGTGTCCTAGTGTTCAAATGTTGTTTACTAGCTGCAGTGCATTTTAGCTCTAAACACAATGGCTGATGCCACTTCTTGAAACTATTATTGAGTTGCTAGCAGCAAAATAGAAAATATTAATATGTCTGCTCCCTTTAAGAATTAGCAACATCTGTCTTAAGGCTCTCTGCAGTTTGGTGGTTTCAATATACACCTCAGATCAGCACAAATGTCGTTTATATTAAATTATGAATTGAGATTTTGCAGCAATGAAGTGTATGTTTTTTAAAGGGAATATACAGATTTTTACCTTCAAATGTTGATATTCACAGCTGCTAATGATATATTTTACTCCAGTCCATTTACAGTAGAGTCCTGGACCTTTTAGTGTGATCGAATCCACCATTGTTTGAAGATGATAAAAACGCACATTATAATTTTAGTTTTATCATTTATGCATTTAAACAAAGAACTACCAACACACTAAGCCAGATTACTGAACCCTAACTGAAATTATTTTACTTATTTTTCCACCGCTGGAACCTTCGTGCTGTAATATAATAGTGCTCTCCACCTTACCATTGTGGAAGCAGAAAAGAAAAGAAGTTAATTTAGCTAATTATGCCACAATTACACTTGTTTTTGATTCATTTTGCACCAAGGTTGTAGCCTTTTACATACTGGCATATGGATGATGAATGGACTGACAGACAGATGGATGGATGGATTTGTCATCCAGCCCACATCATCAATTACATTATTTATTTTAAGGTATAATTTAGATTTAAAGTCCTTTCATTTAAACAGACACTCAACTAAACGATGGAAATTCAATTAAAAGTAAGCATCATGCTGGTAAGGGGAATACCAATGGAACCAATGAAACATCTCATCACCAGACTCTTTCTAAGGTTCTCCAGCAGGTTCTTCCTCTTGTAAATATTCCTGGGTGGTCCGCTACGCTTCTTGCAGTGAACAGAGTTACTTCATTGGGAAAGAAGGTCCAAACCAACACTTGTAAACCTTACACGCCCTGTGTTGCCCTCAACTGTGTCATAGCAACTAAAGGAAAGATTAGCAGAAAGTAGATGCTTTAGGTAAACAGCACCAACCAATAAAAACTGAGCCTTTCTATTCTATTTACACCAATTCTACTTCGATTTCAATACAAAAGGCATAATTCTGCAGTTGCATCACCTGATTTACTTAATGCTGCACCATTAAAATTCACTTTAAGTAGCAAAATGCAAAGCAGGCTTCAAGTGTCCTCTCTCTCTTTCTCTCTCTCTTTGTATTCCCTTGGTATTCTTGAAGGAGGAGCTGCAGAAAATAATAACTGCTGGAGTGTGTTGAGGCTAAAGTAGGTCAGTGGAGCTAACTGTCAGAAGTAGAGAGGAGAAGCAGGGCAGTGTGATACTGGCTGTAGTATGTCCCTTTAGGTCAGAGCCTTTCCCATCGTGAACGACCAAGTGACGCACAAATGATGTCTGTCATATTAGTCCGTGCCTTGTGTGTTTTGTGTTGCGTGGACAGGCAAAGGTAGATGCTGCCTCCAGACAGTGGAAGTGTATGCTTAGTGGGAGTGTTATCAATCCTGTGTTCATCATAAAAGGTCATGCTGATGAGCTTAGAAATTAAAAAGTTAAAGGTACATGTTTTAGCATTTTACTGTTAATACAAACATCCCAGCATGTGTTTTTCACAGATTAAAAGCTTTTTGTTGGCAGGAAGATTTGCTATTTTTCCACCATGTCAGGCTCACTACTGGTAAGTGAAAATGCGGACAAGCACGTAGGAAGGCCTTAGCTAAATATATCAGCAGAATGATTGACAATTAGGAAGACCACTTAGTTTGATAATGCACCCGGAAAAAGAACATCCTCCACTATACCTTTAAGGTCAAGCTGATAGACAGCCATAGAAATTGACTGCTTTATGAACCTGATGTACTGCTGCAGG